ATACCGAGAATCTACTAAAAGCAAATCTTATTACACCTTTTACAAGCGTCTTCTAATTATAGAGCACAAAGAAGCGTTGGTGGATACCAGATTGGGTGTCAATAATTCTTCACGTGAAGGCGTGGCATCAAGGATATTCTACAACTTAAAATTATGCATAGCAGAGCAAAGTTAGTTTACTCATGTAAATATTTGTTCCTCGCTAATAAGTAAATGTGGAACAATGTTCTCTTGGAACCTTCGTACCTGTAAGCGATGGAGCTGGCTTTCGTAGGCTCGTATCTGGTCTTTAAGAGCTTTTTTCTCATCTTCGGTCTTGTGTAGTAGCCTCTTGAGTTCGCGGTTCTCTTTGAGCAGCTGTGCGTCTCCCATGCCCGCCAAATCTGAATTGAGTTGCTGCAGCTGTTGCTGACTGGATGCGAAATCCCGAAGGTGGTTGCCGCGCTCGCAGATCTTTTTTCAGACAGGTAGGTCGTTTACCGAACGTCCAAGATAGTAAAACATGAAATGGGCCGGGCAGAAGTATCAACGGGAAATGACAATTTTATATATTCACATGAGTGGTCAGTTATGATAGAACGCGTGCGTACAAACGTAAACATAATCAGGATCGTAGCCTGGGAGTGGACTCGGTTATTACCAGCGTGAACAAATCAGTGCGTATGAGTGAGGTAGACCGGAACGAAATTGCATTCTATTTGAAAGCAACATAGGTGTGCAAATGTACTCCACAGTGAGCGATATCTCTGCCTCGGTACACTTGTTAGAATTCTAAACGTTTGATGGATATGGGCATGAAATATAAGAAATTCTACTCTTTTCTATTTTCATATCATACCATACTGAGACAGTGTCTACAATGCTTTCGTATAGTTACACAGAAATATCAAGCGTTTATTAACGGGACCATAATTGTGGTCACGTCTAGCAAGAATGCTATCGTTGCACTGCTCCTACCTGATCGAGCAGATCGAGCAATTCGTCCGCCTGATTTTGATGCGGATTGTTAACTCTGGTCTGTCCTGTACCATGAGCGGCGACCGTCAAATGCTGCGGCCGCGTATGATGATGATGGGGGTGATGAAGGTTATGGGATGGGCTCAGATGTGAAGTGGTATTGTGGGCTGCTGTTGTTGTCGTTGTCGCTGTAGTATTGTGAATGTTAAGCGTAGACGATGAGGTATGAGGGTTGTGATGGCTGTTGATGCCGCTCTGTGAGGAGCCTGACGCAGAAGGAGTTTGGCTGTTTCTCGAATGGCTCGATGATGAGTCAACCCCAAGTCCGCTGTCTTGTTTGTCGCTTTCCGCTCCGCCTCCTGCACTGCTGCCACCGCAATCGGCCGAACGCGACGATTTCGAATTCTGCGAAGCAAACACGATGTCAAGAAGAACAAAACAGGAAATAAAACGTTAATACTAGCAGTGGAACAAGGTTCGTGATTATGAAGTTTTTACTATTCAGATAATAAAAGTATGACACGGATATCGTTATATGGAAAATATGGGGATGCCACTTAGCACGAATGCGATATTCTCGTCGTTGTATTCTATCTAGTGAAGTAATTCCGTCTTTGGAAATAGTTTTAACAATCTGTCCAATATACTTGTCCATGAAATAGTTTAACGGTCATATAGATCGTAGGCAGTACTCTAGACTAAAAGAAAATACACTATTAATATATGGCACACGAAGTTGCAGGATGAAAGCCCTAATCGAAATCGCTGCCAAGAACCACTGATCCATATCCGTGCAGCGGGTAAACGTACGACTGCTTACTTATTATCGTATCTACTTGAGACGAAGAACAGCTGCTGCGACGGTGGTATCAGACGCAAAACGACAGCAGAGCATACGGCAGCATATGCAAACAGATAGGAACTACACCGGTCGGATACAAACTTATGAAAAAAACTCTCTGAACAGATAGTAAATTATTTGTCTAGCTATATTAAGATTTCCTCCATTGTTCGTTTCTCCGAGATGACGTTCTTACGCAATCGCTACGTTCACTGGGAACAAACAACGATAATTGGTTGCTAAGGGTGCTCTTGACTAATACGGTCTTCTTCTAATAAGATTTCGTGTAGGACGTCATTAGTGTTTGATATGTGGCGACATAAAAAGGTTTAAAGGGTGTCTCTAAAGCCCTCTTCACATAATGACAGGGTCGTTTTTCAAATATGGAGGTGAGAGAAATGCGTTTATGCACTGCCTAAATCAACCAACAACAAAATTACATGCCACCGGGGGGTAAAAGAGCCCAACATCCGCGTGAAAGAAAACTTTCAGCTTTACAAAGTAAGAGTATTCTTTTCATTTGTTCACTTGTCTATATGAAACCGCAACGCAATGTCCTTTCTGTATTCATTTGCTGTTGTTGTTGGCAAAGGTTAATGAGAACCGGAAGGCCTTTGTTGAGAAGTGGCAAGTATGATCCTTCTGTTCAAAACAAACACAATTTCTGCCACCGCCACCGACTCTACCGTTGGATTAATAGACATTTCACTGTTCCTGAAGGCAATCAAGGCCCTAAACCTTCAGAGCTACCGTTAAAATCCTTGGCCAGCTGTAGCTTCTTTTCCTCTATTTTTCTCTTTGCCGTAATGGTATTTCAGACGGATGGGTGGTAAAATCTATCACAATGAGAGTCACTTTCCTCATCATAATGGTCTTCAAATCGTCACTTCGTATCCTGCAAATCGTACAACTTGCACAAATAGGATCTGACCAGAGAAAGGAGCATCCATAGTTATACGCTACTGCTACTGCGCCGACCGGTTCACCTCTGCCGATCTCATTCCTTTTCTATAAACGTTTGCGAGAGCATTCTCCCATTATCTGGCCAGCGATGGGACTATTATTTTAGCCCTGTTTTGTTTGCCGCTCAGGCAAAAGGCACCGCCCAGGAAAGTGCAACTAATGTCAGCCCGATGTATTTCGTTCCTTCGGTTTGCTAACGGTTAGTGACCATAGTGGCAAAACAATAATAACAATAGGTAATATGACATCGTACGATGTAGTAGTTATAGCGGTTAAATAGAAGATCTAGAACTGTATATATTTTATGCTTAATTATAGTACATTGTTGATCAGCGAAGAGGAGTATGTGCATAACGTTATCATGAAGATGGACGTCTCTATGCGCTCGTATGCTTGCCCAAAACCATGCAGTGGGCCATCAGTCAATCTACCCCCAATCCGACGCGGATCAAGTTTGAGGCTCAGAGATTTGCCAGAGGTTGAATAAAAGCTACGTTATTTTAAAATGAGAACAAAAGACACATAACAGCAATGGAAAATACCGTTCAAATAGAACGATAGAAAGTCAATTTGTTCCAGGAATCCCTTGAAACACGTAGTTTTGTGAATGTTCGTAATGATTACCAGACGGTTACCTGCAGACTTCAGACAATAAACATGAACGGCGTCCTTGGATTTAGAAGTAATATCATGCCTAAGTTTGTGATCATACACACTCGAAGTTAAACTACCGCAAACGTACCCTAAAATTTCATGGCCCGGTAGAGATCAGCGGAATACTGTTAGCGATTATTGCAGATAGATAATAAATGCCGGTTGAGCACCGACTCACTAAGCAGACACTGGTTTAAACAGGACAACAATAAGTAAAACGTTAACGCTCTGATGCTGGAAAATATCCAACCGTTACACTTCTAAGCCCAAACATTCTTGCATAGAAGACATTCTATCTGACAGGGAGTAAATCTGCGCCTAGCCTTGAACCAGGAGTTTTTCTCTATTGCGTGAATTAAAGCCTCTCAGTATCTACGTAGAAGTAGCACCGATAGAAATGATCTTTATGATAGATAGCACGATTCGGATACTTATACGTACACAGACCTAAAAACATGGCCAAACACAAGCCTACGTATCTATAACCCCAACTGGATTAGGATGCTAGAACATTGACTCGGTTAAACTATATTCATGAATCATTCGGAAGAGTACTAGGGATCTGAACGAACGATAGCTACAAGTCAATGCGCTTGACAACAGCAAAACATGCTGCACTAAGAAATAGAAAACAATAATTATAGAGGAAAGCTCATTTTTGAAATATTAGCAAGTTATTTCTGAAAAGTACCCAAAGCACTTATACATTCGAACAGAAGACTTTGTGTAGAAGATATAAATTCATAATAAATATTTCAGTCTTCAGCCCTGACCGAAACAATACGATATTAAAGATCACACACACCAAAAACTAGTTTTCGTTCTAAGGCACGACAGGTCCGTAGGTATAACAAAATCAAATCTGCCTCAAACGTTAGATGTCCAGCAAATGCATATTTGTACCAAGAGTTCAACATTAAGTATCTTGGTCCAAGTTGTCATGTATAATAGAAACATGTAGGATTCTAACCTGTACAACTTGACTATAGTTAATAGCGGCACCGTTACCGCTGGTTACCGGCGCTTTGCTTGACGTCTGCCAGGGGCTGGATTGTTGATGAGCAGGGTTTATCGTTGAACAGCCTCCTACTGATGCGGAACTTGATTCCATTGCGCACTGAAGACTGACGCTCAGCTCTTCGAGGCTCGCCACCCTTTCTTGAAGTTCCTGAAACAGGACAACATTATGGAAAGGATGTTCGATATTTCTACGTTTCATACTGTAAGCTAGTATACTCGGAATCGTCGAAACAAGTTCAAATATGATTTTAGTTACTGGGAATTAACACTATATTTACATCTGGCTTTCCCTCTTCTTCCGAACTCAATAAGCTGCGCATATCCATCAACTTACACAACTACCAGTTGCGCTCCTAATCATATTTAAGTGCAAAAATCGAAAAACGAACGTTTATACGATGCGTATAAATGTTCCTTATTCAATTTTGGCGCGTAACGCTGATCATTTCAGTTTTTATTGTTTTAATGTTTGGCGATTGATTAGCGGTATCAGTTTAGTAATACCGCTTATACCGATGTATGCCACCCAATATTTCGCTTGCGTATGTCTGTTTACAAGAGATGAAAAAAAAAAAAAAAGCTTCTCATGTACAACAACCGGAACACGTACACGTTACGGTGGATCGCATGTAATCTGTTTATATATTATAAAATACTACCATCACCCCAGCATATCTGATGCCATTGCACCGCTTATAACCTGTTGATATTGTCGGTGCTGTGTTGTTATGATTATCACAACAACAAATGGATTTTATCATCTTCTTCTAGATCGACTAGAAAGACTGGATCGTCGAAGTTCGATCAAACCTCTAATGGCTGGAAGCTAACGGACGAGTGAACGAGCTACAAAACGCAAATATTGATAGGATCCTTTTTGCCATATAATTTGATTGACAAAACGAAAGACAAAATAGCAATAAAAGACCGAAAGTGTACAGGGAATCGTGTACAGGGAAATGTGAAACCGGACATTTGCTAGAAATCGGTCTAGCATTCGATAACACAAGCCGTTCACCATATAACGATCTCGTTTCTTGCATTTTCTATTTACCATAAGCCGTTGTGTCAGTGGATAGACGAAGCCAACGAGAGGCCGAATAAAAACACTACCAAATAAGCTCAGTGTGAACATCTGTATGTACATGTACGCCCACACCCCGCTGCAACGTCAGGTGGGGTAGTAATCGACGCGCACGCTAACACGCGATCACATAATGATTACACGACGACGTCTCTGATGAGATTTTACGCAGGACACATTCTTAGAATCAACTGCAGTTAAAGGAATGAAGATAAACTAGCTGAACGCATAAATGTGTGCATACACGCGCACGACCCTCGTGTCGAAACGTCAATCCAGTGTTGGGTGCGATACGTAGCAGCGGATCGGAAAAAACAGGGAAAATGAATTGCTGGTGAATGCAGGTCATAGAAACAAAGGGAAACAGACAGGGATAAACGCCATGTCGACGGCCAAACGGATAAACATACGTAAAATAGAACCACTTTCGTCGGGAGATCTTACGCTAGATAGGCGCACATCGATCGGAAGCAGAGTGGTAATGGTTCGACTATACATGGTAATGGTTCGACAGATTACTTAGATAGGTAGATGGTTAAATAGGCTAGGAACCACGCTAGGAGACGAGAGACAGGGGGTAACGGATCGGTCGCATAGTCCGCGATGTCTTGCACTATTCTTTGACATTACTGTTACAGCTAAAGTTTAGGCGCTGCTAGCATAATTCACTAATTTAGGTAACAATTACGATGAATTTTAAAGCATTGTTCGTGCAAATAATTGTATTTCTCGTAATATCTTTGCTATGCTTAATCAAAAACCAGACCCACTCGTTACTCCTTTCCTGTCCTATTTACATAAAAAAAAGCTGTTTCCAATCTTATGTCTTGTTGCGCATCCTATGCAGGATAGACGAGGGTCTGAGATGCTGATAGCGTAATGCCTAAAGTAAATAGTGTACAAATCAAACTAACTCGAAGGTTATGAATTTTACATATACCCCTGCATTGGTACCAAGCCAAGAAAAATATTTTCTTTTCAGTGTTCTCATTATAAGGGTTAGTACAAGGAAAAAGATAGGAGGGTATTACAAACAGGCCACAAGAATATCGATTAGAATAGTTTTCGCACACTTCGTCTACAAATGAATACATAGTTCCTATACACGATTGCGTAATTATGATTGTGTATATGCGACAAATTATCGTTTTGAGTGCTCGATCAACAATGTCACCCAAAATGTTTGTAAGCACGTTGGGGTCACATGGGATGGGCGTGCACGGATGAGCCTCAAGCCAACTAAAACACATCTATTATATATGTACAAAAATAAAGTGTACTATACGACTGCGTATTACATAGAGTATAATAAAACTTATGAGCTAGGCAACACTGATCATGTGTCGAATAGTTCTATTGGCCTTTTTTCCAAGCAAGGTAATGGAAATAAGGATCGATCGCTGTCATCTTCCTCTCCCATGCACTGATAAACTTTAACTAGTGCAGGGGTGACGGAAGTCTAACCCTCCATCCTGAATTTCCTGCAAAAAGCGATGTGTCTCCTAGAAGATATACGCACTTTGTCAACGATGAGCGATGCACATTTTGAAAACAAAGGGTCAATTCGGTCGAGTTTTTCGAATCGAGTCAGCAAAAGATTTTTCCACACTATATAAATCCCGTGGGAAGCTACCGGGGCCATTTGCATTTCAAACAAAGGCACCGCCTAACGTAATTTTGTCTCTGTTTTTGCTCATCGTGTGTTGCCTCTGATGAGCTCTGCAAAGGCTCGACTGTTCATAGGTAACATTACGCTCAGCTATTTGAAGCTGGTCATGCACTTTAAGAGCGTTCTGCCTTCATTCGATAGTTTCGATAGCAGCGTGGTAGCTTCCGTGGCCGAGTTTCATTGGGTTTATCTTATCTATAATACAAGAGCAATAATAAAATTTAGTTGCAGATATTCTTGCACTTGCTGAGACTCAAAATTGTATGTTCCGCACTATTGTGTGCCCGGGAATACATCTTCAAATGGCGGCGGTGAAATGGCAAGCTTCCTCGACGGGTCACGCATCGAAATGCTGTGCTACAATTGAGGCTCCGAAGAGGCTCAAGGCGACTGGTGCTTCACGTGAACGACTTCCCTATGTTCATGAGACGCTGTTGCTGCTGGTACCGTGCTATGCACTTCCTGTACATACTTAAAGTTATGTCGTAGGGCCCAAATCCAAAAGAACCATGCTCTGAGAGCAATGTTTGGTAGAGATCGCAAAAGTCTTTGTGGGTGACCTCTTTACCTTGAACAAACTGCTGTCTGTCGACAAAACATGCAACATGTGCCTTGCCCTATTTGTTTAAGAAGTCTCTCTCCCGCTAACCGCCATCGTCAACCGCTATAACTGACACGCTTCGTTCGCTTTGTTGCTAAGAGAGTATCTCGAAATGGTATTTCACCTATCAATCTATTTTTGGAAGTTAGTATAAGTTGAGCTGGATGGATTAGGTGATAACACAAGCACCAAGGTAGAAGTTAATCAAGTTTTTGTACTTAATGCCCATAGCATCAAACAGTAAATGTATAAAATATTATATAAAGAGCTTAAAAACGAAACTTATCTTTATGCCATGAGCCAACGACCAAGTTTCAAGCCCAAATTTCGGAGACATCGTCAAAAACACCGTTTTGTTGATCGGCATATGCGAATATGTTCGTGAACGAATAAACGTCGAAAATTGTGAAGAGAAATCTGATCATTTATATTTAGCATTCTAGGGGTGGGAAGAGATAATGAAAGTTTACTAAGGGGGAAGACAACTAGTCGAGAGTAAAAATAACATAGCAACGCTTAAAGGGTTTCAACAAGATCTAAAAACGTGGACAGCCCTCTCGAAAAGATTAAGAATCAAAGCTGAAACGAGCGACTGCCTGAAGATTGATACGCAGAAAGCAGACGAACGAAAAAAGAGACAATGATAAAATCAAAAGCCTAAAGAAATAATCGAAGAAGCAAACATGACAAAGAAACTAAAGAAGAGATCATCAGTCTGAAGATGCTTTCGGCTTCATACTGGCAGCAAACACAAGTAGAGTAAAATTTTATTAACACGGAGAAAAGCGAGTTCGGGGAGCAACGTGGAAGATAACTACAGAGCTGCTCTGTACACGCGTGTACCGAGTAAGCGTACGTTGAGGTGTGGGGGCGTTTTCTCCGATGATCTTTTATGGTTACCAGTCGGTGTGTCGTTTACAGAACTACGATCTGGGACTGTGTGGTCTTCTCAGGCCAAACCCGTCTTCAGTCCACCGCATTAATTCCTTTAGCAATTATTCCGCAGCAGCAATAGCAATGGAAGAAACACTTGATGACACACATGATTATTGAGGTCAACAAGTTTGGTTGCATTTGAATTTTGTCTTGGCGTGGCCGGGTTTTACTTATCGATGGAACGTGACTGTGCTGAAGCTCGTAGTTTTGTTCAATCGACAAATATTCTGTAGCAACTTGTCTCATCGAAGACATTCGACATCGGTAAAGGCTAATAGGTATAAGCTAACGGCAGGAAGCTGTTTTGGATGATTGAATAGGGAAAGGGAAAAGCAAAAACGAAAACAAAAACTCGGATATTAACCGCTGTAACTAGCGGCTGTATCCACTTTTTGGGATAGTAGCGGAAATGTTTTTGCAAGCCGTCACGAATCAAACGGTGCTAACGGAAAACATCTGAGCACAATTAAAAGATATAATTAATACACATACACCGGTATAGCAACCTTGGGGTTTCTTAGATTAATATCTCTGGTGGCAGTGGGAAATATTGTTACGTAAATACTGTCTATTCCCTTGAAAAAATCTCATTTTATGTAATTATATGTTATTACAGCGTTTCTATCGAACAGGATCCTATCAAGCAGATATCATTAAGACTTACACTAACCAAAACAAGAATTTATTCAGCAACAGTCCTTAAGATAAACATAAATGCCTCAGCTTTTAACAGTCTTCTCCTTGTATTAGAACCACTGATAGTTTTACGGAGACAATAGAACTTGTTTCTCCATCTTCATCTAATATTTTCCAGTCTTTTGTTCTTAGCGCCGACGCAACGAGGCCGCTGCCGTTATAATCGGCCTTTACCCATGAATTCAGAGCTATTTCTCTTTGGCTTGGCAAAAGCCTCAACGGAATTGTCGTTTTAAAATTTCAACCCTTTTCGTTCCGTTACGGCTACGACCTCTGTTATCATTGAGAAGTTGCTTCGCTTGTTATCTCCTACCTATGTCGCCGCTATGTCGGCACCGACGCGTCGTGGACTCGTCATCAATACAGCGGCTGGTTATAATGAACGCTATCAACTCTTGCAATGGAAGCGACGCTACACGCTGCCATTTATTATGTAGACCGTCGTCGGCAACATCACCGTCCCAGTGTCGATAGCAGCGTCGTCTGATCGGACAGTTTAACCAAGTTAAGCGAGCTCATAAGGGAGCGCGATGCACGTCGTGCTAACGAGTGTGGTTAGCGCACGTACCCCCCCCCCCCCATATCGGTCTAGAAAAGACGTATTAACAAAAGCCGCTGTGGGCGATTGATGAAAGGATAGATGACAAATAAAATGAGACATGGCGTTGTTTGTTCCATAGTTAATTAGTAATCCTATAATAATTCGATGGTACTAGCAGCAGCTTGGGTGCGGTGACATGTTTGTTGCTGTTACTTTATAACGGAATGGCCTTGTTTCGAAGCTGCTACTTGAAACGGTCACAACCTCGTACTACATCGGCAGGTGAATAGACAGCAGCTTTTTTAGAATCATCAAAAGTAGAAGTTGGTAGCAAAGAGGAAGATGGGATCAGATCCAAACTGAAGTAAGCGAGAAGTGCCAGTATAGAGCGGTTTGTTGACGTTACGGAACTGAAGGTTAAAAAATGAAGAATTAAACAAATTGAACTTAATCCAGTATATGTATCGAACTATGCGATGCCAATTTACTCACGAATCCAGAACTGGATGACTGTGAATAGTCGAAACTACGAAATCTCTCCCAGTCGAAGTGCATAATGCTGAACGGGGCAGGTCATCTCAGCATTGTCCTTGCTTACATTAAGGGGCAGGCACACCCGCCAGAGAGAAACTAGTGATCCATTTAAAAAAAAAAAACACATTACATCAACTTTCTCAAGCGTGGCAAATCTACTATAGTAAAAAAAATTAACAAGCGCATGAAGATAAATATGTCGGTGCATCGGATTTCCCTTTTAACTCCATATAAATCACGTAAGAGTCTTTAGATTAAATCGATAGAATCGCCAGATTTCCAATTGCCATACGATTAACGGTATTACATTCAATGTACTGTTCCGTGCAAAAGTATACCAATACCAATCAAGTTTAGATTGAATGCTAAGCTTTATTTCGCATCGGACATCAGATAACCTCGTTCTTCGTGAACACATACTTAGTACTTGTAAATATTGCGCCATGATTCCATCATGCGATATGTGGCGTTTTTAATCTATCATTTCGTTAACTTAATGAAGGGGCATTGCAAAACTTTTATTATATCAAACAAGTTCTATAATTACGAAAGCTATCTAACGAAATCCAATTTAGTCAATTTTGTAAATATGTTACTATTGGGCAACAACAAGTTTAATATCATACTCCTGAACATTTTATGCGAACGGCAAGCAGTGAACTACGTAACAGGTAACTAACAACTAAATAAATTCAAATCTGAATTCGATCTTCGTTTTTATATCTATCTTCATCTGTTTACAATATAATCGAGCTTCTTTTAAGCGATGGATTCATTCGTGCTCGGGTGTTATTGAGTTCTTGTCAAACCACTAGATCATTAGCCTTACGCTGATACCTTAGCGTATACATTACTATGATATTAGTAAAAATGGACGCGTTTATAATATAGCTTCTCGATCCTTCATGAATGATATCGAATTGAACGAAATTACGTAGCGATCGGCTTACGGCGACAATACCGCTTCGACGTAAACAAACGACATCTACGAGAAAATCGTCTGCACTGATAGACACAGATATAGTGTACCTGCTTGACATTGCTGAAATTCTATGGAGAGATGCAGATGGAGCTCTAGCAGCGCCACCAGATATGTAAGTTGTGCGTTGCGTGTACGCTTCTAGTAGTTATTTGAATCGCTTATGTGGTTAGCTTTTTACGCAGTGAAAATAAACCTACTCTTGCCGTTCTCCCAAGAAAAGAAGAGAAATACAGTCTATAGCAGACTGCCAGTTTTCTCAGCTCATGTTTAATAGCATGAACGCAAAACAAGATCATTCGATTGTATGTTGTTTGTCCGAATAGCCTATAGCAAAAGGAAAGCATTAGAAGCGAATTACTATGTGCATTTTAACATATAAATACGCTTGCTGAAGGCGGAGGGCGTTGGGGATCTATTTGAATTGCCTACCTGAACAACAACGCCAAAAATGTCAACATTTAATATCCCGTTCAGACGGTCTGCTGTTCCGATCCTACTAACCTGGACGGAGAGTAGGGTTTTTGCATGCTGCTTTACAAGGAAAGGCAACACATGGTTGATTGAATTAGTTCGTGTCCGTTGCTGTTGTTGATGCTGAGGTAACGTTGGCGGGAAGTTTCGGCCTCCAGCATCACCGTTCCTATACGAAGACGATGCCGAAAACCCAGCTGCGCCTGCTGCACTTTGCGGTTCGCTCGTTCTATGAGTACTGGCGTTGGGGACCACCGATTTTTTCGATGAAGTTCGCTGCGCGTGGACGCCAGTTCCATCGGCAACTCCTGTCTCACCTTTTTCTCGACGCTCTTTTCGAGGCGATCTTTCGAGCGCAGGTGAAGATTTCGGTCTGTTAATAACCCCAGGTGGTGGTACTGCCGCTGCTGTTGCCGCACCAGCTGCTGTAACCGTTCGCAGAGGCTGCTGCTGTTGTTGCAGGTGTTCTCGATTGGGCTCCTTGCGTGGCAGCAGTAAAGGGTCGGTAAGTAGTTGTTGGATACGTTTTGAAGGGCCGAGCCCGAGGGAACCTGCGTGAGGTCCGTTGAATCCGTTTGTGCTATTGTTGTTACTACTGCCGCTGCCCAATATCTGCGGGTTCGATGAGCTCTGGAAAATTTGCGCCTGTAGCTGATGCAGATGGGGCGATAAAGGCTGAAAGTGCTGTTGCAGGCCGCTACTATTGCCACTGATGTTTGAAGTTGATGCTGGCGTCGTCGTCTGCTGCTGCTGCTGCTGCTGTCGCAGCAACTCCGTAGGGGGCGAAGACGAGTTCGGAGGATGCTGCTGTTGTTGGTGACGGAGATGTTGGTGGACGGGGACGGCCGGCTGCTCGGGAGCAGCTCCGTCCTCATTGTAAACAAACGGCTAAAAAAAAAGACAACGAAAGGCACAGCAATCAGAATGGGGTTAGAATGGTTCGGCTGGAACTAGCTGCACTCATCTTTTTACGGTAAAATTGGATAACGCTGATATGTAACGGATCTTTGCTCTTCGTTAATAGTCTCATTTTGTTGGAGATTGTTTTTGATTTCTGCGCAAGCTGCCGGAAAGCAAATGAACAAATCGATCGAATTCTTCTGTGGAGCAACACTTTCCCATCAAGCTCGTACTCTAACTAAGCCTGTAGAAGCTTTATGACTTACATCGTTCGACCGTAATAAAAAAAGAACGTGCTAAAAAACGAGTATTTCCGTCTTCCGCTGTTTGTTAGTAGCTTAGTTTGAAGGCGCAATAGCCTTGTGATGCTTCGATAATGATGCGTACCTCATTTCGTGTTTAAGGTAGGTTCGTCGAACGTGTAAATACGACGTTAAAACGTCGAAGGTGTAAAGATTGTCACAATTTGATTTTAGCAGTCCTTTCGGTTCATGGTCGAATATGGCCAAGTTAGCTGATATACGACAAACCGAAACCGTTATAGAGCAGGAAGCTATTCAATACTTTAAGATACGCAATGATGAATATAAGTGCTAAAGTGCTACATATTTATTTTCGATGACTGATTACCGGCTTCTAGATTTATTTATTTGTTAAATTTAGAGCGATTTATTTGGACTTGGCCATATCAAAACTTGGTAGGAATGAAGGCAGGGGTACGGTATAATCTTGCATGCCACTGCACAAAAACAGTATATCGTATATAAAACAATAATGTAGTAGTATAAAGCGAATATATTTTATATTAGTCCAGCGTGAAGCCAGTTTTCTAGAACTGTTGCATTTGTTGCGCTGTTTATGCAAGAGGTTAGGATCAGTATGTGCTTTACCAACCGATTTAGGACAGCGTAAAGGTCAATACGAAGTTCAAAATATTTTGTCTTTTACCTATTAAAAATAACCATAACGAAGATCCAGTGCTTTACAGAATTTAGATCTGGATGCAAATACGTCTTACTACCTATCTCTTAGAAGCGACGCAGTAATACACACACGCGCGTGTATATATACGACAGAAGTATGAAGACAGTATGAATCAGGCGTAACTTTCCATAAACGATCCTTCTGTTACAATCAGTCTATTCCAGTGGCACTTGCACATGATAAAGTAACTTCTCCATCTATCTTTCTCGTTATCGTTCGACTTATCCCCATGCAATTATGTGATGGTGCCCCGGTCATGAATTGTAGCATAGATGCGGCTTTCCGTTGGGTTGTTGATTCTACCCAAGTATGCATGCCGCAATCCAACATCCCCGAACATGCAGCAACAACAGATCATCTTATAGCATTAAACAACCGAAATTGTGACTGCATATGTGTGTGCATGTCCAGAGGAAGATCCAGCTCAGATTCGGAAAGAGCCATGTTGATTTGCGGCTGATCGTTAATTGCAAATGCAGTGTTCTATAGTGCCGGATCGAAAGTCTACGTAATAATCCAAATATAAATGGTCAGTGAAAATATGAAGATTGGTCTTAACAACGATATCGTTTGTTCAATAGTTAATCCCCGATAACCAGACGAAATCGTGTACTGAGCTGCTAAAACAAGATGAATGCAGCAATACTGTTTATTAGGCAGCAGACGCAGATATATTTTTATGAGTTAATCACTCTGTTCCAAGTGTCGTTTGCGGTACCGGCCAAACATCAATCAAACCAAACAAAATCATCGAATAGGTCAACGTAAAATATCTTCATCGTAGATGGACATGGGCAGATTTTCTGTTTTCGCAACAACATATTCGGCAACCTCTCGCGTTGCCAAACTATTATTGGAAATTGGCACGTAGCTGAATCTGGTAAATATAGTAATAATGCACAGTAAGCACAAAACACTAACGAACGGCTTCTGGCAACGATATACGGAGCTGTGTTACACATGCAAAACTCGATAGATAATACGGATCTTCAGCCAATGAATGTATCACCTCTGCTGGCACTGGCTAGTTCTATCGATCTTCAGTAGCAGCAAAGCTGTCGCACATCTTTCTTCTTCTTTTTAAAGCCAATTACATGAATTAATTAAGTGATAAACCTTAGTAACGATCAAATCAAGTTAGCGTTCTAAAAACAGAAATCGAACGCAGACGCAACGAAACAATAAACACAGTCCGTACAATTAAAATGCATCGGCTGACAGTTCTATACAACAACTGTTGTTGTTGTTGTTGTTGTTGTTGTTGCTGCTGCTGCTGCTGCTGTCGTCGTCGTCGCCGCTTCCGCCAGGGGTAGCAACATCCGCTTTTCCCTATGTTGATGCCGTTCCTTCGATCATGCGTCGTCACTAGCAACGAGACAAAGTGAAGGAAATGAAAATAATCATGAAAAGGTTCCTGCTGCTGGCGCTGTTAATGGTGCCCGTTTATTTTCGACTGATGCTACCAGCACAGTTGTTGCTGGAGGGGGGAAGGGGTACGGCAACCCCGCTGGAATAGGGAAAGCTGGCCAAGAAATGAATAAGAACATGGACCGGAAGAGATGATTTTTTAACGCTCAGGTTAAAATGCGCCTTGTCGGTGTGTGAAATTGACTTATATCTATCTACCCATTTCCATCTATTTTATAGAAGATTATATCGCTCGAGTGGCACGCTACCACTGCTGCTTCTCCTGCAGCCGCTGTAGTTAATAAAGGCGTACCATCAACGTAACTCAATTTAGCGTTACTTTTTCTATTAGGTTTTGCAAGCATTTTATTTCTATTACAAATCTTCACCCGTATGGACCAGTGGCGCTGGCGGTCAGCCACAGCAAAGCCTGACTATGCAGATGGCCATTACTTATTTTGGCTGCTGAAATAATGGCATTTTAGGGTAAGGGTGTCAATCAGCTTTTTTAACCGCTTACCTCCATGTTCCACATATATGGCAGAAGTAAACGTTTGGGATTTGCTAGCCTTTCCCTGAACTATCCGACTGCCACGGTAGGGTGCAAAGGGTTTTTTTTTTGATAATTTTATATAATTTTACTTATAATAATAGTAATAATACTGGACTGCAAGTGCAGATATAACAACCATTATAACAACGCAAAATGGCCCCTAGATTTACGTCGTCGTATGCGTAAACCAGCAGATCCTAATAGTTCGGGAATGCATCTACTTTTATCTTCCTTTCCAATAGAAAAAGGCAAACGTAAATACCGACAATATCACAAGACGCTGAAGAACTTGATGTCTAATTGTGATACTGGGTCAGGGACTCCACTAATCAAATACAAAATTTGTTCTTTTTTTTTAGCTCGCAGACTAAATAAAAATACAGACAATAAAATGTCCGCAGGATGCAATAGGATGCGATATGCCGGCTGGAAATGGTCGGTGTGACCGACAATTTCAGTTACATACCTTGACGGGAAAATTAAAATATATAAAAATGAAAGAGATTTTTGCAATGTCATTATCATGTCCGTCGAGCATTATCTGATGACATTTTTCTTATTCATGAGTTGATGCGAAGGTTGAGCACCATGCCAAAGTACCAAGCTATTGCGTCGAATCAATCATTAGGTATGCCATTGAATTGATAAGTTTACTATGAGGGCAAGGACGAGCGCTCACAAGGCCAATCCAAAAGGGCAAAATATCGGATACAACAGTGCAGCTGAAGGACTATAAGTGACGATGTAGAACCTTGCAGAGATTGCCAATCCGCAATTCGTATAGTCGCCCAACCGTCCAAATAGACCCTCTGATAGCAGAAGCTAAATAAAGAGCTCACGAAACGGGAGCCTCGCTGTTCCCACATTGTGTTTATATTCGAAGCTAATTTAGCTTTTATTCGATAACTGCGACACAAGTTGATATTTTCATTTATGGCTAAAATAATTACTTACAAACTACTAGTGGCAGCGCCAAGTACAATCTTTCTATTTGACTTTAAAAAACAGATGATGGCGCCATGCCATTGTGGCACTTTGTTGGCACCTTCGGCCGACAGTGACGAGAGCAGATTTGTACCGCCACATTCGAACCCTGACTATCACAATGCTTTATGATCGGCATCGCTTTAATCGTCAACAGCCGATTAGAACTTCACGCTACAGCGTTACCTGTGCATGCTTCTGCTCGCTTGTTCTGCCTGCGTACAGAAAGCCAACGACAATAGGACTTGGGTAATACGCTGATTTTCTTCAGCTTTCTCTCTTCAGTTCCTCATTCTTTCTTAGAATATGCTCGACGCGTAATAACGATAGGAACATTTTAGCATTTAACTTTTTTACCAAGAACAGGACGATAGGGAGAACAACAATTAAAGGAACAACAACGAAATACAAACAGCATTAAAAATTGATAGTTTTTCTAACCGAACGCAACCATCTTGTGATTTATTGGCTGAAGTGCGTACAAGTGATTGTTGTACATTTGTTGGCCAAATTGATGAAGACGTCGGGCAATAGCGGCCTTCGGCCGTCGTTTGCTCCGCGTAATCCATTTATCATAATTAGCATCACGATTTTTGAATGGTCCGCTGTCCTCCGCCGCACTGAACATGACGCCCAGTGCTTTCTACAATGATAAAAACATGTAAAAGGGCTGACATGCTATTTTGTGTTCTGCTCAGTTAATCAGAGCAAAAAACTAAATTATGGAAACGCAGCATTCATATAAACTAGATTAAGTTAAATGAGATTTCTACTGTAATCATTAAATAAAAATACATTCTTTTTCGGTAAACTTTTCGGTGAGCGCGCAAGGTGATCTGTGCTGCACTCTTGAGCCATTGGCCTTTCGTTTATCACTTTTATATTTTTCGATTAATCTGTCGCTGCTGGCCATGATACACACGTCTTTGCAATAAATATCCTACATGCGCAGAGTGAGTACACAAAAACGCAATATCTTGACAAACTGACATTAACATTCCCACGTGTTCGCCGTCTCCATTATAAAGCAAGCTAAAATAACAAATGTATGATAGGGAAA